AGTACCTCTAATGGCTCACAAACACACTTGAGTGAAAGGATGAATATGAGAAATATGATGGAGGCTAACAAGCTCACAAAATTGGCTATGGTAGGGTTTCTCCAAGGGGTACTAATTTTGAGTCCCTTAGGGTGTTATTTATAGTTGAAGTTAACTAGGGTTTCAAGGTGGAAACCTTAATCCCTTAGCTTAGGGCCTAAGCAAACCCATGTACTCCTTTCCTTAAGCCCTTGGACGAAAACTCCTAGATCCTTCTAGGATTTTCGTCCAAGCCTTAATAAAGGTGATCCAATGGCCTAAAGTCTCAACTATCAAATAATTACAAAATAACCCCTGCACTATTAATTAATTCCTTTAATCCTAAAATTAATTCATAATTAATTTCTGATTAAATATTAATTAATAATATGATTCCAAATTAATATATTATTCATATAATATATTAACAAAATCATATTTATACCCCAATTTATTATTCTTAACAATAAATCAACCTCTCTCCTCAACAGTCATCCTGTCTAGTCACCAGTGTTAAGGCAACCCAAAATGACCATGCTACAACCAGGTCAAGTACAAACCAAATATAGTTATGGACTTAGACATTAATCCAACTGTAAAGACCATGTAGGGGTTCCCATGGCAGGAAGACCATGTGGGGTTCCCATGGCAGGAAGACCATGTCGGGGTTCCCATGACACTTAGTTAAGTCCACGTGGGGGTTCCAGTGGCACTAGGTGTAAGACCCTGGGGAGTTTCCAAGGCTTCCTTATATGTTTGTAGGCATGACTTATGTAGTTTATGTCGCTTTTACAGCTAATATGATTATGTGAATATGTGGATTGTGTAGGGTATGCTCTGGGAACTCACTAAGCATTATCTTATAGTTTGTTTATTGTTTCATGTACTTCTGAGACTAAGGTCAAGGGCAAGGTCTGATGGCGCGTCATGCACTCTCACAGGCGTTTTTCTTTTGATTGATCTATGAATTTGAAACAACTGTTTTGAGATTTTATGGATAATTGGAAATGTTTTGATATTTTAGAAATGAAACTTTTTTGTTGAAAATTTGGTCGTTACATGTAAACAGAGGGGTCAACCTCTTATAGAAATGTCTGTTTCAAAGAAGTAGATTATGATATATTTAATTGACCATTTAAAGTATAATTAATCTAAGTTTTAATGTTAAATATGATATCACTCAAGTCAAAGCATTTTGTAAGGCTAATACCAACCGCCAAGGGGTATTTAGTAGTCCTACAATTGAGTAACAATACGTAAGTGATTAATTTGTATTTTCAAATAAGTTTTTATATCGTCAAGGGGTATTTAGTAATTTAATTCTTATGGTGTTTATGACTTTTTGAAAATACAGTTGGTTTTACTCCAAGAGATCAATCAACAAATCCAATCTTCTACTGAAGCAAAGCGGTCTAACACCACGTGAAATAAAAAATTGTTTTGAAAAAGTATTGGGTGTTTGACGTGGACATATTAGAGGCATTGGGCGTAAACCTCCTACGATTGTGTCTATGTACGATTAGGAACAACCGATGACACTATAACCACCACAATCACAGGTAATTGTTAGTTTAAGTTGAAAAGTATAATGTTGTAATCATATGTTGATAATTGTTTGTTTAATATATAACACAATGCTGTAATGAAAAGTAGAATGCTATAGTGATATGTTGGTTATGGTTTGATATGTTGATATTTTGTATTTTTTTTAATTTTTGGAATGTACAATGCTATAATAAAAAAATGAAAAAAAGTACAATGTTATAATGAATATGGAATGTTGTGTATCATGTAGTTTGGTTATAGTTTGATATGTTGGTATTTTGTAGTTTGGTAATTTTTTGAAAAGCTCAATGCTATAATGGAAAAATGAAAAAAAAAATACAATGTTATAATGTATATGCACTAATGTGTATCATGTAGTTTGTTATAGTTTGATATATTGGTATTTTGTAGTTTGGTAATTTTTTGGAAAGTACAATGCTATAATGGAAAATAAAAGTACAATGCTATAATGTATATGCAATATTATGAATCCTGTAGTTTGATTATAGTTTGATATGTTGGTATTTTGTAGTTTGGTAATTTTTTGGAAAGTACAATGTTCTAAAGTATATATTGTGCATGATGTATGTTTAAGTATATTTGGAAAGTAGAATGTTATACTGATATGTTGGTTATAGTTTGAAATATTGGTATTTTTTATTTTCGTAATTTTTGGAAAGTACAATGCTATTATGATATGTTGGTAATATATTTCGCATTCTTTGTAGTTGTAAATAGTGCAAACAATACTAAATGACTCAGCCTGTTCTATGACACTGGAAGACTGATTTCGCTCATTGGTGTCACGAAACGATAACAAAGGAAACGATGAGAGTGATGAGGACGAGTAGCTCCTTTGTTAGGATTTTATGAAATGTTTTGTTTGAGTTAATATTTTAGATATATTGCACTTTGTATTGATGAATATTTGGTTTGGATTGTGTATGGACTAATATTTCTGCAAAATTAAGTTTTGTAGCAGTCTGAATGCATGTTATAGTAGTTTTTATAATTTTAATGTTACATATAAAAAAAAAACATAAAATGTTTTAGTGGTGATGCCTTTAGCGACGACACCTACGTATTAGTGGCGACAACTCATTAGCGGTGACACGTAATATTAGCGACAACAACGCATTAGTGGCGACACATCGTATTTGCGGTGACATATTAAGCAATTGCGAATAAGCAACAACGACAATCTTTTTGCGATGACGTGTCGCCGCTAATTCTCACATTTCTTGTAGTGGGTGCCTTTCTTTTGTAGCCTCCTACTTTCGCCACCATGGTTTATTCGTAAAATACTTTATTTATATGTAGACATATGTTTATTATTTGAACAAATTATTTAAATACAGTTATTTTATAATATGATATTATTTGAACAAGTTATATAGGAATAATATAAAATATGTATGAAAAAAAATTAATGACCAACTTTGTAAAAAAAAAAATAATAACCGAATGTACATACAAAAACCTAATATCGCTAATCATAACTCATAATTAGTCGGTTTTTTTTTTTGAGAAAACTGAACGTAAATTGTAAATTGAGCTTAAAATAAATTTAGTGACTAAGATGCTGTTTGTTTTTTCGAAGCGAAAATTCATGAAGTCTGCAGACCACCTCTGCAATCCTCTGTAGCAGAAGAGGTGGAACAAACGGCTGCAGCCTATAATAAGAAGCATGTTTGTTTTTTAACATCTGCAGACTGCTGCGGTAAACTAAAATTTAAATAAACTGAAATAATTCTCAACATTGAAATTTAATAATTCTAGTCTTAAAACATTGAAATAATAATAACAATAACATGTAAAAAACAAAAATATAAAACTTAAAAAAAAAAAAACTTAAAAAAATATAAAAGAAGCTAATAGTTTTATTCTAGAAAAAAAACTAATTTAAAAAAAGTATTAAAAAAGAAAATAATAAAAAATTTAAGAAAGTATTGCAAACGTTGTCTACAAAGTTCGTAAAAAATTACACACGTTAAAAAAATGTAACTGAAATTGAAAATATTATTAATAAAACGGTAAAAAAATAAAAAAACAAATTAAAAAAAATCGTGGAAATTATAAAAATAAATTGTATCACATCCGTAAATAAAAATTTAAGAAAATCAAAGTTTCAAAAAAAGAAATTAAAAAAAAAGTTATACAAAAATTCTTAAAAAAACACTTAGAAAAAATGAAAGTTGAAGAGGTTATAAGAGGCAAGTCAAATGTTGCGTCACGCAGTACACGCGCAGAGGTTTTGTAGTCTGAGGTCTTCCAAAAAACAAATTGCTGCGAGAGGGAAAGTGCTGCGCGTGTGCTGCGCCGCGCAACAATAAGTGGTTTGAAGATGTTTTTATAGAAAAACAAACAGCACCTAATTGTGTATAAAACCTATTGATTACCTAGAGAATCTACATTATGAAAGTTTTTTATTTCAATTTCTTTTATGAAAAACTCAAAATATAAAAGCTTACTGTATCTCTTACAATTATATATATATATATATATATATATATATATATATATATATATATATATATACTAGTTTATAACCTTTGGAAACCATGGTTACAAAATTAATTAAATTATTTTAAATAAATTATTAATTAAAAGATATTTTTTAGTTATATAAAATTATAATCGTTAATTTAAATAAATATAGAAATATTATATCATGTATAATTTGTATCAATTTTATTTTAATTTTATTCTAATGTTATTAATTTAATTTAATTACAGTGAGAAATTTAAAATTTGAAATTTGAAATGAAGAATTAATAGACTGATAAGTGGTATGCATTAATTATGAGGTTTAATATGATGACACATGACAAAAGATAAATAAAATATGTATTAATTAGGAGGTCTAATAGGATGACACATGTCAAAAGAAGATTAAAACTATTTTTATTAGAATATGGATATATATATATATATATATATATATATATATATAACTTGTTTACTTTGTTTTTTGTTAATAACTTCTAAATTTATATATTTTAAATTGATTAAAAATCTATCAATATGACACAGAATGAAAAACTCTTAGTTAGAATTTGTTAATTAACAAACTTAGTTTTTTAAAAAAACTTTTAATTTAAAAAGCTATTGCTATAAGTTTTCCATTTGTCACGATAGATATGCGTGTTTTGAATTTATGATTTTTAGTTATAACAGAAGTGAAAATATTTTGATACCACTGTGCCGTTTTTGGTATCAGTTGAGTTGCACTATATATGAACATAGTTTTTCTAGGTTTGTATATATTTAGAGAGATGTCATCATTGTATGTCTAATCATAGGCAAAAAAAGCCATAATGATGATACTGTAGCATGAAAAAAGTACTATAGATCTACACACAAACGTTTCACATTCTATCAAAGAAGTTTGCTAAATGAAGAACCTTTTTTCGACACCCGGAATTGATGCATAGAATATGGAGTCGCAGATCAAAATGGTGACTTCTCCTTTTTCTTTCTTATATACACGGGCTTTAATTAGTTAACATTTTTCATAATATGCTTGTGTTTCTTTGCAGCTGAGAGCTCTTCTGGAAGAAAGGTTTTTCAATTCTTGTTTAGTTCACCAAGAAGATAAAAAGAATGAAGAGAATAGCTTCTGTATGGATTGCTGTTTCAGTTTGTGCGTCCATTGCATGCCCCATCACATGTCTCACAGGATTTTACAGGTTTGTTCAATACTTCAATTTCTTTTTTGGATATCTGAGTAGTGTTTTAAGGTTAATTAAGCTCTTCATTTATACTTGTACGTGTGCTGTTCATCTTTAGATAAGGAGGTATATGTACAACGATGTTTTACGGTTGAAAGATGCACAGAAGATATATGATTGCTCTCTTATTCAAGTAAGTTTTAATCATCGATCAAGTGCTGTTGCCCAACATATAAATCTTCCAGTTCAAAACTGTTGTTAACTTTTCGTTGAAATAAAAGATTTAGCCACGGTTACAAAAATTAATCGAAATTAAATCGCTAAATATAATTATTATATATCTTATTTAAAATAAAATCAACCAATATAAATGCTTTGAATTGAACTTAAGAAAACACAAAAGCTATTAGCGTTTTGCATAAAAAGTACAGTAATTTACCCCGAAATTTGTGCTACTTGACTCTAATAATCTTTAATAGACACAAAAAATATTAATTAGAATTCAGAAATATATATATATATATATATAATTTAAGAGAAATTAAATTGCCTCCTACCTTTTATTCCTACAATTATTCCTACCCATTAAAATTATGACAAATCAACATTCAATTTAAATGTATTTGATATATTCCTAATATAGTGTTAATGATTTAGTTTAAAAAATATGGAAAGATGACACTTGTCATAATTTTATTGGGTAGGAACATTTGTAGGCATAAATAGTAGGAATCAATTTAATTTCTCATAATTTAAGCAGTGAGTGACTTGAAAAGTGCAAAAATAGATACGACTCCGATTTTTGTCCGACTACTTGAACTCAAATGTTCACCTATTCAGAGAGGCTAAAAAGGTTAATTAAGCCAGTGAGAGTGTGAGATCGATATTTTTTGGGTTGAATTTCTATAAGTGATATACCGTAATTATTTTAACTTGCATATACTTCTTGTTTATCAAAGCATATTAATGACTTGATTTGGATTTTTTTTTCTATCACGATATTTGGTTAATTTTCATTTTCTTCCTAACCCATTATATTTTGTAAAGGTTACTGATTTATAGCTAAAGTCAAATTGTTATTCAAAATTTCAAATTCCAGAGATTTTAGTCAAATTTTCGTATTTTCTTACGTCGGCTCAAGTTTAGTCCCGTGTTATTGGTTTCCAACCGTTTATATTTGTAAGTACGATTTTGTGGTAACATCAACAACAATGTTTTAAGTCCTATAAGCATGAAGTAAAGGGGATGCAGGATGAAAACAACCACCACGTGAGAATAGAGGCACCGCTTCCATTATTGATTTATAGTTTCAGAAAAAACACAATGATCATAAAAGGCTTACATGAAGCGTCAATGACAGCAGCACGAAAGTTACTAACAATAGTTCAAGAAAATGCCAAAAGAAGAAAGTTTATTAACAACACAATGATCATAAAAGGCTTACATTCTTCCCCTTATAAAGGCGGTATGACCAAAATTTCTGAAAATTAAAACTGAAAATAAAAATATCCATTTAAAATGAAATATCTAAATCGAAAGAGATTCGGGGGAAACTGAAAATTGAAGGTCTAAAAATTGAAATTTGACGATGATTGTCGTTTGAAGTTGGGGAAAACTAAAGATTGAAGCACCGAGTCGTTGAGAGATTTCCTTCCAGCTAAGTGAGGACCATGAAACTTTTGACATACCAAAAGTAATGTCCATTTTAAATTGACCATCTTTCCGTTCCTTTTATCGTTGTACAATTTAACGGACTCTCCTAAGTTCCATAGAATCCCCTCTTTTAATTAGTCATTTTTTAAAACACTAATTTATAGACATTAAAGCCCACAACACATGGAAATATAAATACAAGGACATAGGGTCTTTAATTTATATAATAGAAATTAAATTGATTCCTACTTTTTATGCTTACAAATGTTTCTACCTAATAAAATTATGATAAGTGTTATTATTCTATATATTTTTAACTAATTCATTAAGGCTTATATTAAAAATATATCAAATAAAATAAAATTAATTGATGATTTATCATAATTTTAGTGAGTAGAAATAATTGTAGGTATAAATAAGAGCGAAAAAGTTATTATATTATAACTATAAAAATAATAAAAGTACATTGAATATATTATGTATTCGTTTTAAAAATATATTATATAATGAAAATATCGTTGAATATTGAATAAAAATAATTAATAATCTATTAGTAAATGAATAACAAATATTTAAACCTAAATCATAATTAAGAGGGTAAAATAAAACATGGTAAGGAGAGAGAGGACAGATGGATAAAACATGAAAGAAAATATGTTTGACGACTCAGTATATATTAAATAGTCAATAAATAAATAAATTAAAAAAAAGAGCTATGTGTTGTCTTGTGGTGATATATTATTCAATTTGAAAGTCTGAAACTTTTTGGTTTCATTTAATAATTGTGATGTTTATTTTATCAGTTTATTGTGAGTAAATTATATGCCTTTGTTTTTATTTGTCAACAGTCGTACACGACAAACAGTGAGAAAGTTCTATTATTGCGCCCGAGGCAACGTGTGTCACCTCCGGTAAGAGGTTCCAGATGTACGTGTTTCGTCTGCAATCAGAGCATCAAGCCGTCCTTTGTTTATTGCTCAATGGTTTGCAAGGTCCCTCTTTAAATCTTATACACACATATACATATTGTTAATATATATATATATATCACATAGTCCCTTTGGGAGGCCCCCCTCTTTCTATAAAGCCCTTTTCTAAAATAAACCAATAACTCTACATCTACTATATTGTAATGAACTTTTTGTCCGAAGACTTGTGTTTTAACCTGTCTTTTCATCTGTTCCATTTTCTGGGTTGATGAGTTATATTCTTATTGGCTCACTGTGTCGTCTTTGTTGATAACAGTTTACTAATGAGACTGCATCGATCAGTGGTCAGAGAGTATACACCTACAGTTCAAGAAGTGTTGGGAGGAGATTCCTTATGCCTGGTTCTGTTTCAGAATGTCTTGTTTCATCCGTTGAAAGTTCAGTTGAAGAAAACGCAACCAATTATGAAAGCATGGCCTTTAAGCAAAATATATCAGCAACTACTTCAACAAGCAATGGCTTCACCAGAAAATTGCATGCCCGAAAATGTGTTCCTCAGCGTTCTCCACTTTTTTAATTTACTTGAGCACTTCTTCCTGAATCCGAGGATTTTGCTGCTGTTAAATTTTGCAAGTGTTGCATTTTCGTTGATGTGATGTGATGTGAAATGCTACACTTGCAAATATTATGTGTGCAAGAGTTACTTGACATATTATAATAGTTGCTTGTAATCTTCTAACGTTGCAAATAATAATATTGGATACATTCCATGTAACGAATGTCTACGGGGGTTGAAAACACCGGATACCGTTAGACTATAAGTCTTTTGGTTAAATTCAACTTTTAATTAAAATTTTAATAGTTTTTTTTTTTTTTTCAAATAGGTTTAATCATTACTTTCATCTGTCTAAAATCTAAAATATTCTATAAATTTCTCAGTTGAATGTGTAATGACAATATATAAGTATAATTTAATGAACTGTTCAATATAAATATATTTGGTTGTCTTCTAATAATTATTAACCTAGTAAAATATTAATAAAATATATTAATCAACAAGATACAATACTTATTTAAAAGTTTAATATAATTGGATAAATAAGTTAACATATTATTATATAAGGAGTCGCAAATATATGCATTGTATAAAAGTAAAATAAATATTTCGTATATTGAATGATAAAAAATAAAATTATTTTAATCGTGCATAATTTAGTTGTGCTTATTATCAATTAAATAATAACTAATCCTAAAAAAACTCCAATTAAAAATAATTTTGTTGTGCAAAATTGAATTTTCTCTATTCAGTGGATCCGATCTATTGAATTATAAGGAGTTTAACAAGTTTAACAGACTGTCATATTACTTGCATCCTATCTATTGAACTATAAGGAGGTAAATAGATTGTCACGTTACTGTCATATCAGCATTTTATTTTTTATTCAATTATATTCGTTAACATCTACACTTGATTAAACCCTATAAAGTTTAATGGATTTTCATATCATCATCATTACATTTATAAATATAATTATAAATTTAAAAATAAAGATGTAATAGTTAAAAAAAAACCAATACTTAAAAATACATTGATTAAAAATTACAAAACTTAAAACATTTTATATCTAAAAATACATCAATTAAAGAACACAAACCCTAAAAACACATTAATGCAAAAAACGATACATACAAATTATATTTTATCAAAATTAGTATTTATTAGATTTGTAACGGATATATTTTTCTAGTGGATTTTTATTTTTAAATATTTGATTTGATTTATTTATTTAAAAAAATATGACACCTAAAAATATGATACATCAAATTATATAATACCTAAAAATATGATTAATTTTATTTGTAGGTTTGCAAAAAAAAATATAGAAATCAAATATAAAAATAATAAGAAAATAAGATTAAATATTATTTGGTTTGAAAATTAATTGAAAAAGAAAAGTTTAAATCCATTGAACCCCTCAATAATCATATAATTTTTTCATTCAACTCTACTTCATAACATCATCTACACTCCATTCAACTTATATTCAATCATAATCATCCTCTATTCAACCCTGAGGTAGGAGTGCAAACCTGCCAAACTACTTATGAGCTACCTGAGATCGGTTCGTTAAAAGCTCGACTCGGAACCGATTTTAAACGAGCCTGTGACGAGCTCGAGCTTAATATTAACCTTGTTTATTAAACAAGCTCGAGCTCGAGCCTATGTTACTAAGCTCGATTAAGTTCGTGAGCCTAAACGAGCTTACATATATAATATAATTTAATAAATTTTATATATAAAAATAAAAGCATATTTGTGGAATTAAGGGTTTAGGGTATTTGTAAACGAGTTTTTTAACGAGCTCGAGCCGACCTTAAGCTTATTTAGATACTTAAGACAAAAAACGAGCCGGGCTTGAACCCGAGTTAAGCTTGTATAATTATTTTCGAGCTCAGTACAAGAAAGCTCAAATCGAACCGAGCTCGAGCCTCGTATAACATAAACGAACCTGAGCCAAACCTGGCTAAACTCGGGCTTAGTTCAGTTCATTTGCACCCCTACATGTAGGTCCGACCTGCGAGGTTGGGGGTTAAAAGAGACGTATTTTGCTCTTTTCTTTGAAATGACTAAGGTTTCGATTCCTAGCTTCCCTACTTTCTTTGTTATTTTTTATTAATTAGTTTCATAATATTTTTATACTTATTCTAATAAAAGAATAGATTTATTTTCCTTTTATCACGTGACATTCTCTTAGGATTTATAATTAACGTCATGTCACTTGTCAACCTATTGATCCTTGATTTAAAATTTCAAATTTTAAAATTTTCACTCTAATTACATTAAATTAGTTATATTAAAATAAAAATAAAAATTAATACATATTATAAGTTAATATAATTTCATGTATTTATTTATATCAACGATTATAATTTTTATATAACTAAAAGAATATCTTTTAATTAATAATTTGATTAAAAAGCTTTATTAATAATTTTAAATTTTTACTATGAAAACTTAATTAATTTTGTAACCATGGTTCACGGGTTATAAACTAATATAATATATATCAGTTTACGTAAATGTTTACCAAAATGTCTTGTAGTTCATATGGCTAAAACATAAGATGTTTACTCTCACCTTCAAAATTATAAAATTTCGCTTACTTTTTGAGTTATTTTATTTGACAAGTTTTCTGAAACGGCTTAATTGTGTTTTTAATTACTCGACTTGTCATAGTATTTATAAGCTATGTTTATGTATAAAAAAAATATTTTTAGGGATCATTTTATTTTACGCACGTTACCCTCAAAATTATCATACTAATTCTGACATTTTTTTCGTTTTTTAAAAATATATTCCTAATACAAAAATTGACAACTATAATGGTGAGAACATGGTTTCGAAAATCTCATCCTTTTATTAAGGGTGTTGCTAATAAAAGATCCTATAATCATTTTTTTAAAAAATCAATCTATAATCAACTTCTTCTAATCATTTTTTTCGGAACCAATGTAATTTCAACCAATAAAAATATTTCAAATATTAATTAGGGTTGTGTAAATGGTAAAATAGGGTATCTTTTTAGCCAACCCCTGGATGTTGCTAATAAGACACCCTATAATTATTTTTTTAAAAACTCAAACATTAATTAAGGTTGTGTAAATGGTAAATAGTGTATCTTTTTAACCAACCCCTTTTATTAGTCATTAATTTTCTAAATGAAAAAGTGGGTTTGGGTTACATAACTAGTTACTTAAGTTTAACATTTTACAATTTTAAAATTTTATTATCCAAAAATATTCGTTCACATTAGAATTAATCCGAAGGAAGATCTTTATTGCGATCTTAGGATTCTGAATACGATCTTTATATCTTAACGCAATTCGTTCCAACTTTTTAGTCTTATAAAATAACTGAGCCTTAAGAATTCATTTGTTCAATTTCAAAGCGAGCATCCAAATTACAACAAGTTTGAAAAGAATCATCAATTCATCTTAAATTATATAGAGCATACTTATTTGTGATCATTTGTCATATGTTGTTAGTTATACGTAATCACATCGATATTGTCTCTTTTTATACTTAAGATGTTTTATTTATAAAATTTAGACTTTATTGCGACAAAAATTATGGATCATGCTTAAGTATTTATAGTTAATTCCACTATTGACGTTTTAATCAAAATCAAGTTATGATATATACTGCATAACACAGATCTTTCGAGTAAATTTTAATATGAGTTCATTTTAGTATCATTTTTTTTATCCTTTTACAATCTTATGATTTTGCGAAACAAAAAACAATATTTGGTAAGCTCGTCTTAACTATATTATATATATAAAAAGGCAACCTCAGTGGATTTGCACCCTCATTTTTCGTAAATGATATATATATATATATATATATATATATATATATATATATATATATATATATATATATATATATATATATATATATATATATATATATATATATATATATATATCTTTTAAAACACTTTGTGAAACAACATTTTCAATCCTTTTAACATTATAAAATGTCATTTTAAACCCCTTTTACTTTGTATAGTGTCATATTCACCTTTTTATTTTCTAAATTTTCTTTTTTACCCACGTAATATATATATATATATATATATATACTATCTTATAAATTTTTTTTTTAACTATTTCTAAAAATAGATTGATTATAATAATAATATTTTTTAAGACGTTCAAATGATGAAACTAATAGTACAAGTAACCATTAATAAAATATAGATGTGGAGATCTCAATATTTTTAATTTTTGCAACATTTTGCAAGTGTTATGATAAATATTTGTAATTACTTTGTGGTAGTGTTCGGAATTGTTTATTTGAAGTAGCTATTGACTGATTACGGTTTGACATCGATAAAAAAGTTTTTAGTGATTGGATAAAAAGATTTTATAAGCACTTATTGACTTAAATAAGAAGTTTTAGATAAGTTGCTTCTTACTTACGGTTCCATCTCGTTGAGCGTCTGAATACGTCGAGCTCTGGCAACAAGATAAAACATGGCTTGCGCAACGACGCAGGTCATGTTATGGGACAGGGCATAACTGTCCATAGCCTCCATATCAACAATAGTGGCAGGAGTAAATGCATGTCAAGCAAACTCTAAAGCATTAGCACGAACGGAGAGACGGGACTCATTATGAAGATTCCAAGTGGGGATAAAAGGAGAAGGTCCTGAAGAACCTCCACCTAAGTCTTTGATGGGAGAAACAACGGTGGGATCCAGGTCACGAAGATCCTTTGAAGGAGAAGAAATGGTAGAAATAAGGGGAACAACTGAAGCAGGAACTACGGGCTGTTTATGCGCCCCATCAACCCCTTCAGACTGTTGAACATCATCATCAGGGATAACAACAACGGGTGCCGGTAACGAAGAGATCGAGCTTAGAAGGCACGAGAAGCTATGCCTGGTTTGAACTCGCTTGGCAACATTAGGTGCACTGCTCATAGTCTCGCCCATGGCCAGAATGGCCTTCTGCTTGGCTTGCAGTCGCTGAACATCAGCAATGACGCCATCTTTGTTGTCTTCGTCACCCTCGGTGTAAGTAGTATGAACACCACCTAAAGGCATGACGGAGGAAAGTAGGCGAACTGCAAGGGGATCCACCCCGGAAGATGGCAGATCCTCACTTGTTGACGCAGGAGTAGGCATAGCAGCAGTAAGAGCAAGCTGGTCCAAACGACGAAAAGGGGGGGGGGAGATGATCGACTAAATCCACTT